CAACACAGCGGCGACCACGCACTTCATCTGCGCCACCGACACTTTCTTGCCCAAGCACGACCTCAGCTCGGCGTTGAACGGTATGAACTTGTGCGCCGGCACAGCAGCGCGCCATCCTCCATGACCCATCTCTCCGCCCGATACGCCGCGCAATCGTCGCCCCACACGGCCTGCATCCTGCCCATTGAGTAGAGCAAGATCAAGATGTTATCCCCGGCACGCACTGGGTGGCCGCTCAGCGTCGTTCGGACGCTGCTCCAGATCGAACGCAAGCACCATGCTTCATGCCTCGTTCTTGTCCCTGTGTAACAGAAGCATGCCCGCTGCCCCGCGTCACCCCACGGGGTCCCATCCTCGTCGTGCGCCGCGTCACATGCGTCATTCTCGTCCTGTTTGAGCCCACATCACCCATGGTGTTCTGTCCGCCACGCCTTGTCATCTGCCACTCTCGTCTTATCTCATCTCCTCTATAACATCGATCGTATAGTCATTGTAATATATGCAACATTAAGATCTATTTGTGCAACATCCAGATAAAACACTTGCAACATACGTCTGAAACTGATGAAACATTTGGAACATACACTTGCAACATACATCTGAAATAGATGAAACATTTGTAACATACACTTGAAGCATACATGTATAGCCATTACAACATATCAACATCTCGATCTACTTTTGCAACATCAATATAAAATACTTGCAACATACCTCTAAAACACTTGAAATATATGTTTGCAATATGCGCTTTCAGCGCAACATCTCCTTCCTACTTCGGCGAATGGAGGCTCGTCGACGCATGGAGGTCACTAGTATAGAGTTCACCGGCAGCACGGAGCTGGGCGGCGGCGCATAGAGAGCGGGGTGGGGGCGGCGTGGGCTACGGTGAAGACGCAGAGGGTGGGTGGGCACTGTGGCGTAGAAGGTAAGTGTGGACGTGGCGGTAGCAACGACGATGTAGAGGGCAGGTGGGGATGACAGCTGAGGGGTAGAGGGTGGGGTGGGACAGGGCGACAGCGATGATGCAGAGCGTGGGTGGAGGCAGCATGCAAAGGAGTGGAGTGCGCGCATCTTGGGACGAGCTGTCCATGTGGAGAGGACGCCTGAGCATTACCAGATCCAATTACCCCTGCTGCCGTGGTATGCTGTTAGAGCACAGGCATGAGGCACTAGTCCACTTTTTGCATAGTCCCTCCAGCATGCTGCATGGCCTAGGAGGCTAGGACCGCTAACGTTACTCTAGGGCTATGAAATAATAAAAAAGCTCAAAGGCTCGTGGGTTACTCATGTTTGGTGCAACATCAATTCGACTCCATCTCACTTGCTCGCTGATTCACATCGGTGGAGACCCACTTCGAAGACCGAATATCCAACAACTCCAATATCTTGATTGTGCCTCCAGAACCTAGCCGATTCTTGGTGGTTGATTTGCCGACTCTTCCATCTTCTGTATAAGTATCTCTATCTCCACTCCTAGCTCTTGACTGAACATTGGCCTCCATCTTCTCAAAGTCTTGGAATCCAAATCATCGCATCTCTCTCCATCCAAACTGTGCCCTAAAAACAAATTTGGTTACGAAACTTTCAAAGACACCATAACACCACGCGGAACTAGTAACATTATTCGAAACATGTTTTTTATTCACAATCCAGCGGGATGCTACAGACTTAAAAGTCCAATCACCCCTCAGATTTAAAATCTCTGCCACCACACTCCAAATCCTTCTAGCACCACAACACTCAAAAAACAAGTGATCAATATATTCAGACTCATTACAAAGAATGCAAGTTTGATATGAGACATCTCTTCTTTTAGTTAGATTGTCCCTAGTTAGCATTTTGTTCTTTAAAAGTAGCCACAAAACATGCACCCTAGGGGTACTTTCAATTTCCAGGTAGTATGCACATGGACTGAGGTAACTCCCCTATGATTAGTAACAACATACATGGATTGTACTAAGAATTTGCCATTGGAGCTAAAGCTCTAGATTAGCTGGTCCTTCTCTTCTACCACCAGATTAACATTTTCCATGATTCTAAAAAGCTCTACCACATATTCAGACACATTCCTTCTAAAGATTTTTTTTTTCAAAACTTCCTCATCCAAAACTTGTTGAATAGTCCTACAATGTTGTTCATAATCACATACAAAGGCTAATATTGAATAGCTAAACTTGAATCCCCAAACTAATCCTCCAAAACCTTTCTTTCTGTCCATTACCTATTTTCCACATAATACCCATTTGGAAAGTTTACATTGACCAAAGCACCCCTTTCCAAAAAGGAGATGCCAGGTTATCCAAACAACAAAGCACATTTGGGTTATTTTCTTCTATACTTATAATCTACATTTATTCTCCAAATCGAATTAGACTGCAAGCTATATTTGAAGATCCAAACACCTACTTCGGGCTCAACAACGCATGAAACGCCAGGCGGACAAGCTCCATTCAGAGTTTTCCTTTTCGGTGGGCGTGATATGGTTTTCTTCAAGCTCCAACCATATGTTCAATCTACCGCCGTAAATCACACCAACCACAAGATCACTTACAAGTTTTTTTTGGCCCTTTTCGTGAGTTAGACAAGATTGGCTCCGTGGCAAACAAGCTTTAAAATGTCGGCTTCCTCAGCCGTCCGACTAGTCTTTCATGTCTCACAGCTCAATAAACAGTCCTAGAATAATTCAGGTGTCTCCACTCCCTGGCCCTGATAACCCCTTTTAGTTTCCAGTGCCGATTTTGGCTAGGCGTACAGTATCCCGAAGCAACTATCCAGTGCAACAGGCGTTGATCAGCTTGTCAACCTGGCATACCTCTACATGCTAAGACATGATCATACTCAAGCAACATTTTCTGTTCGCTCCTTCTTGAGGACAAGGAGCACCTAAAGGAGGGAGGAATGTGTGCGAATTGAGCGTAGCTCAGCTCGTTAGGTGCCTTACGGTGGAACCTGTCCATTCGGACTCAAGTCCCTGACTTGACATGGGTACTCGTATTTTCTTAGATTTATTCTAGGATTTAACGGCGCTATTCGTTCAGTGGTATGCGATGTGCCCGTCAATAGCGAGGCGCGTGTGGTGACTTCATCAATCTCGAGATTTGCCAGTCCAACTCAGTTATTCGGAGGTGCTCATAGAGATAGAGTATACGTACGTGTGTTTATAGGGGTGAGTGTGCGCTCATGTATATAAACGTCTACATCTCTAGCTGGGTCAGAAAAAAAATTCACCAGGAAGCCTACCATCACCGCTGGAATAACGTGGAGCCGAGCACGGAAGAGTCCACATGACTAGAAGCCACAAGCTAATTTGCCGCTGGGCCACGTCAAAGCTCAAAGGCCCAAGCCAAGTAATATGCATTTGTCTGAAATTTGAATGGATTCGGTCCATGTAATGCCGTAGACCTTCAGGGAAGAGTAGCGAGGAAAGGATATTATGGGCGTGTTTGCGCACCTGGACCAGCATGGCCGAGCCAGCCCAAACGGACCAGGCATGGGCAGGCCTGCTCCAACTGCTGCAACGCAGCTTGTTTGCGCACCTGTACCGATTTAGCCCGGTCCAGGCGAGCTGGTGTTTGTGACCCAATACTCAGCCGGGCTCAAACGCCAACTGCCGAGCACAGATTGTGTTTGCCAGCTGCTGTGCTCGGCCTGGCCCAAAGAGAAGGAAGAACCGCATGATCAATAGAGAAGCAAACACTTTGAATGAAAATGTACAAAAGACATAGGCCTCAGACTAATTCCATTTAATCAACACATACATTGCCGGCTACATTGCATAATCAAAGAAGCAAATTAAGAACAGTAGCAGAATTAAGTAGTTTGGCAAGCCGAGAAGAGCAACAAGATAACAGAAAAGAGAGTACATGAATCAAAGTGGCATGTAGCCAGCTAATGCAGTCATCCTATTGTGTCATCATCGGCCTAATTAAAACAACAGTTGTGGCACATGAACAGCTTGAGTGACAAACCAACTACAACCATAAACAAGATCAAGATGACAGCATTTTTACAACAGCCTTGCAGCCCAGGTGAATGAGGATAGATTTTAGAACCTTGAGCTGTCACCAGTTCATGGGATGCTGATGCATCCCCATGAGGGGCGTCAATTGGTAACAGCAAGGGTTCTTGAGGTACCCTTGTATTAAAATCTCTTAGAGCATCATCATAGTTGTTGTACTTTTGATAGATAGCCCTTCTTTCCTAAGCACTTGCTTAGCACACTCATACCATGTAAAATAAATCTCAGGTTTCTTCCCTTCAAAGACCACATAGCAAGGAGGCATTCTCTAAAACCAACCAAATGTAGAACATGTAAAGTGGTCTGAATGACATGCCTCAGTCGACCATTCAGTTTGAATGATGGTGAACATCATCGGCTACTTGATAAAAAATTAGCCTCAGCTTAGTAGTTTGATGGTTTTTTCCTTGTTTAGTCATTGGTGGCTACCAAGAATTATAAGAACCAAATAAAGAGGCAAATAAACAACAGTTGCACTCACTACCATACACTACCATCAGCCATCACAAGAGGATGTTGTTGCTATGGAGTACAACTGAGCATAAGTGTAGAATGGAAGGATAGGCAAATAAAGAACAAAGCACAATAACAAAACCATCAAAACAAGAATAAGGTAGCCACCTCATGTTTCTTTTATGCATCATAGGCCTTTAAATCCCACATTTACCACCAGGGCATAAACAACACAAATAGGCAACTAGTTATCAAATAAAAAGTAGCCAATAGAGGCTACAAATAGTGTTTGTTCCAATACCAAATTCAGCCCAACAGCCAAGGGCTCAAATGTTCCCAAATCATTGCCTATTGTTAGCCACCCTCCTAGGCAAACTACACCATCAAGGTCAGGTGTCAAAAGAACAAGCAGACTGCACAAAAGCTCCTGTTGTCAAAAGAAGAGAGTGGGTGAGGGGGGTGGAGGAACTATACATCTCAACAGTCAACCCCCTCCTGGCCTTCTAGCCCTTCATGTGTAGTGGAACTACACATAGTTGTTTTTTGCCAGGAAGGTCCTAAGCCAAAGGGCCCTGTGGGCATCACTCATGTTCACAAAGCCCCTACCTTGGGCCTTGTTGTCCAGGAGGAAGGTGTAGGCAACAATAAGTGCCTCCTCACTGAAGCCAGGCATCTCCATCACAGCAAGGTACAGATTGGCATCAGCATGGGTAGGTCCAGTCTCCCTAAGAGCATTGGCCACATTGTTCACAACATGTGACATGTTAGTCAACAAGAGCATCTCCTCCTCAGAGAAGTTCCCTCTCTTCCTCTTTGGGCTAGCAGCTGAGGAGGTAGGAAGCAGTTCAGTGGCCTTGCTATCCACTCCCTGTTCACTAGGAACTATGGTGTGGGTCAAAGGTGGACCATCAGCCTTGGCACCAACACTGTCAGCCTGGTTCTGCCCTAAGGCTTCACCAGACCCAAGTGCAAACTTGCCTGTGGCCATGGCATTAGCAAAGATAGCCTCCATCTCAGTGTAGAACCTAATAGGGCAGTTAAGAAACTCTGCATCTTTAGGATGGTCCTGCAGGGTTGGGCAATTGTAGTTTAAGAAAGGCAAATGTAGGTAGTCAAGGCAAAGATGAGATCAAATTGCTACCTTGCAGTGGCCAAGGTAGTGCTCTTGCTCAAGCATGATAGCATGAGCCTGGTCATCCCAAAGAGCACCACTAAGGTCCTTCAGCTTGCTCACCCTAGCCCATTTCTGCCTCCACTTCCCTGGCTACAGCATCTGCCAAAACAGTTGCCTTCTGGCAAACTCAAGCCATCTTCCCTGGCTACAGCATATGCCAAAACAATTGCATCATTGGCAGAGCCCTCCCAGCCAGCCAGGACATAAGTGAATTTCAGATCACAATTCACAGCTACCATCACATTTTGGGTGGGATCCTTTTTCCTACCCCTGAAAGCTTGTTGCATGCGCCTAGGAACCATTGCTAGGAAATGAGTGCCATCTATAAAGCCAATGACATCCTAAAAAGCATGGGTCAGTCATTGCAATAGGTCTAATGTAACTAATGAACCCAGAGTATACAATTACCTTAAAATATGGATTCCATGTATGGCTTCTAAGAATCTTTGGGTGAGTGGTAGTGCTAGCTGGCTTTATCATTTCATTCCTAAGCTCACCCACAGCATACAACACCTGATGAAAGTGCTTGTGGACAGTTTGGATGGACCTCCTAAAGGACTGGTGGACAACCCTAAATCTTTGGTTGTGCCCTACAACATGTAAAAACATGGCAACCTGCTCTTCTACTGACACCCCCTCCCTATCAGTGATAAGACTCCTCTCTCTAAAAGTTCTCACTAACTTAAAAAAAGCAGGTCTCTTCATCCTAATCATAGAAATACACTCTGAATCAGTGGAGTTGTATATCATTCTCAGTGTTCTCTGTCTGTGCTGTTCATTTTCATCCCTAATCAGGGCCAGTGCTATAGGATCAGGCAGTGGGGTTTTAGGTTTAGGGGTTTTCCTTTTCAGCCTAGTGGATACAAAGTAAACCATAACAACAGTCAAGGCAGCTGCCTTCCTACACAGCATGTCACGGCTCAAAGACAGATCCATCTACAAGCATGTAAAAATGTAACATGATTTTAGCTTAATGTACTCTGCTAGGCATCAACATGAATGTGATATGAATGCATATGAATAAAAGCACGGCTGCATCTTGTATGTGATGCCTCCCAGTGCTAAATTTGGACAACATCATCGACCAATGATGGAACAAAAACCCGAGCAATAGTAATCGTCGAAAAAGCAGATCAACATCCCTAACAGATCAAAACGAAAGAAGGTACAAGTAACACTAATAAATCGTGCATCAAAGCAGCTTATGAACAAAGAAGGTACAATACTAATCTCAAACAGATCAACAACCCTAAGAGATCACGATCCCAACAGATCAAGAACAGCAAGGTACAAGTAACCCTAATAGGAGCATGAAGCAGTTATAACAAGTATGAAACCCTAACAGATCATGAACAGCAACGAACAAGAAACCCTAAGAACTTCAAGAAGCACCACAAAAAAGAAGATTGGGGGGTCGATTTCACCTTGGCTCGGGGTCCAAACAACGGAGAGGAGGCAGATCTAGAAGTAGAGGATGCAGATCGGGAAGAAGACGAAGCAGATGCGGACGGAGAAGAAGAGGAACACCGCCGCCACGGAGTCCCAGCAGGAGCCGGAGCGGGGACGCAGCGAAGAACCTCGGCGCCGGTGACCGAACCCACAACCAGTCGGAGGTCACCGCCGCCGCCATGCACCACCACTCACCGCCGGTCTCTCACGAGGGAGGTGGAAGAGCAAGCACCGAGTGAAAGAAGGAGAGAGTGGAGAGTGGAAACCCGTATATAAAGGCCGGCGAAATCGCCGCCATTTCGCCAGCGGCAAGGCGTGCCAGAAAGGGAGCGGGGGGGGCGGGCGCGCAAGAAGTTTCCCCTTCCCGCCAGAGCCCGCGCGAAGCCACCCCGCCGCCACCCAAAATCGCCTGCGTGCGCCGCCACGAGCTCGGCTCCAAAGAAACGAGGGTTTTCCTCGTTTCCAGAGGGCCAGGCGGAGAGGGCATTTTTCGCTCTAGGAAGCCAGGCTCGCTCGCGGGCCACGACCACAAACATGGCAAGTTGCAGCCCACGGGCGCAGCCGGGCCTTCGGGCCAGGGTCGCAAACGCGCCCTATATCTCGTCAAAGCAACCAAACTAAGAACAACATTCCTCGTCCAATAATCCCCGCTGTCCCCTCTTGCTCCCTTCCGTTTCCCTCTTTCTGATCCTGCATACTGTAACAGTTGTTAGAACTGTAGGAACCCTAGGATCATAAATCTAGCCATAAACTGATTTTATTCGGGATAAAATAGACGTTGTACATCCTAGTGCTTGTAAAACTAAAGAGACAGAGAGGGAAGGGGGAAGGTACCGAACCTGACATGGCAGAGGGCGAGGGTTCGGAGGCCGCCATCGGGTTCGTTGATGTAGTCTGTGCATGGGCAGCGACGGTCGGGGAAGACGGGTCGGAGATGCAGTGCCGGCGGTGAAGATCGACGGTGGCGCAGTGCTGTGGCGGAGGTATTTCCCGTCACTGGCTGCGCCCCTCACTTAGATCGGATTTAGGGTTTGTCGGTGGGGAGGTCGGCTCAGGTCAACCTCGTGATAAGACCCGCCGGCCCCCACCTCTTTTATAGCGCAAGATGACAGGGGCCCTCCAGCCATGGTGGGCTGGGCGCCCCCGATCAGGGCGCGAATCAAAGGTCTAACTAGGCCGTTGGGTCCAGTTAGATTAGAGATCAATCTAACAACATACGATAGCTTGTCATCCCGACCACCGTGCCGTACTGCCATGGAATGAGTCTTATGAGTGACACGAAATGGACCTCAAGAAACTGATAGTGGTAGGCACAAGCTGCAGAGCTGCTCAGAAACCATGGAAACTGAATAGACGATGGTTAACTAAGCCCTTGTTTAGTTCGTAAAATTTGGATTTTGGGGCTACTGTAGCACCTTCGTTTTTATTTGGCAAATAGTGTCCAAACATTGACTAATTAGGTTTAAAACGTTCGTCTCGCAATTTCCCACCAAACTGTGTAATTAGTTTTTCTTTTCGTCTACATTTTAATACCATGCGCACGGGCATAAACATTCGATGTGAAACATCAAAGAACTTTTGGAAGTTGGGCACCAACTAAACACGGCGTAAAGAAAGCATACACAAACAGAACACATTTGCTTATAACTGGTACTTTCCCATTAGCTTTAGTCCAACAGCCTGACAATTAATCCATGATTACAAGAACACGTCCCTCTCCCCTTGCCATGTCTGTTTTCTTTTTTCATTTCTTGAAAATAAAAGATACTTTGTTAGGAAAAAAAAAGGATAACTCATGATGAGATTAGGTTAAGGTTCAGCACCAGTCTGCCCGAAGTCAAACTACGGTCACTCCCTATAAAGATGCCTTCCCACCATCTCATGCACGCATCGTCTTGTTCCATTGCACAGCAGCTCGATCGCGGTCTCGGTGAGCTCAAGCGCGGTCAGCGCCGGCGCCGGCCCTCGAGTTCCCCAGGGTGAGCTCCAGGTCCCCCTCGTCGATCTCGCTCACCTTCTCCCCCTCCCACGCGCTGAACGCCCCGCTCGCCTTCTCCCCCTCCCAAGCGTTGAACGCCCCGCTCGCCTTCTCCCCCTCCCACGCGTTGAACGCCCCGCCGCTCCAGCCGAAGGAGAACCCGTGCGGAGCCATCTGTGCGTCACCGTCGCCAGCGCCACGAGCTGCCGCCGCCGCCCACGGCGCGCTACTGCTCTGTCCCGCCGACCTTGATGAGTAGCTCCCGGCGTCGAAGTCGAACATGCTGTACGCCGGGGACTTGTTGGCCGCGGCGGCGGATATCTGCAGCCCTGTCAGCAGGCTCACCGGGTCAGCCGCCACGGCCTCGCCGCGGACAGGGGTATGCGGCATGGTTACTGGCAGGGAGGCGTAGCGGCTGGGGCCAGGGCTGGCGGCCCACGGCGACTGCACGTTGGAGCCGCCGCCGGCGGCGGCGGGAGCGTTGTCCGGCGCCCAGCGCGCCATCTTGCGGCGCGGCGGGGAGCCGTTCTGCGGCGTGACCGGCGCGCTGAAGGAGTAGCCGTCGGCGTACGAGGCGTCGTCGGAGTGGGATAGGTTGTTGAGCCACGGGAGGAGGCCGCCGCCAATGCCAGTGCCGCGACTGCTGCTAGCGCCGCCGTAGAAGCTGCTGCTGCCCCTGCCACCGAAGTGGGTCGGCGACGACGGGGAGCTCAGGCCGTTGTAGCCTCGCGGGCTCACCGGGCAGGACACCATGCCGGGGCTCACTGGAGAACACCCGGGGATAAAACCAGCCATGTACGGATCACTGCTACCCGGAGGCTTGCATCCCTGCAACACGAAACGAACAGCTTAACAAATCGGCAGAACAAAAAACAAAAATGCCAACCCACAAACAAGACAAAAACAATTTGTAAAAGGAAACAAAGTGAGGAGCCTTTAAAAGCTTGCAAAGACATCACGGTTGGTTCCGTTTTGCCAAAGACAAAGAAGATGTAAATAAAAGGAAAACAAAGTGAGGAGCTTTAGTAGTCAGGACCAATTTCTTCCCCTTTTTTCCAGGGGAAAAAATGGCATAGCATCAAACGTTCACGCTCCAACTAGCAACTGAAGCAGCAGCGTCGGAACAGAGCACGAGACTATCCTGAACAACGACACTCAAAATAATACCCATTCGTTCTTTAGATAGCGATATATATAAAAGGTTTAATATTTATTTAGCATCTTCTCCAACAACAAAACTCAAAAGAAAATCATTTCTGTAAATATATTTTTAGGAGAGAGGATGCTCATATTTGGATTGTGTCTCACAGACAACCTAAAATGACAAGAATCTACAGCGACTGTGGTCTACATATACCGCCGTAACGGGACATGGTAGCTTTCATCAGAAGCTGTGGCGGCCCCGTGGACT